TCCACGTGACCTCCACCACCGTGACCTTCAGGACGTCATTCACACTGTCGGTGGCCGTCCCCACTCCACAGCCTGGCGGCTGCATCCCCCCAGGCCTTCAGGAAGGCGTCCACTTGGTGGCAGCACGTGGTGGTGTGACAGGGTGGGTGGGGCGTGTCTGTCAAAGCCACCGCGCTGGACGTCCCTCTGGGCCAGGACTTGGACAGGGGCAGCACGTGGGCAGGCAGAGCGCTCGGTCTGCCTGCGTCTCTCGGGTGGGCAGACTCTTGCTGGCACCGTCCTAACAGAGCTGTCAGGACGTTCCCTGAGCATTTGGGCCGGGCCCAACGTTCCCACCCTAAGTCACAGGTGAAAATATTATTAAAACCGTTGACCCTTTAACAGCCTCACCAAAAACATCTACCCTTGCCAAAACGACAGGGAGAAACAGTCCTAAAGTGCAAAGATCCACTAGGAAAACAAGTGGTTTCATCAAAGATGAAACTTCTGGCTGCCAACAAAACATGTGTCTCCATAAGAGCTTTTTCCTGAAACGAGGGTACTATTTGAGGAGCACTTGCTGATGTGGACGAGTGTGCGTGGGGCACGTCACCGTTCCGTTCGCTCAGTAGAAAAGAAAACGGAATTCTTGAGGGAGCCAAGCCCAGGACACCTTGCCCGGAATAACTGAGGGCTCTGTGGCTGGGGAGGGAAAAGAAAGTGGTTGGAATCAGAGCCAAACGGAAAGAAGGGTGAGCAGGTGCCCACCAGCACGAGGACACTGCTCTGGGCGCCGGCTCTGGCCTCCTCCAGCTCCACGTAGTCCGCAGCGGCCTGGCGCCGGCCCTGGCCTCCTCCAGCTCCACGTAGTCCGCAGGGGCCTGGCGCCGGCTGGCGCTGAGCCAGGGGCCTCCCTGCGGGGGCTCCGCGGCGTGGCCAGGAGGGGGCCTGCTGCGTGGCTGAACGCAGGCACAGGTGGGAATTAGGAGAGCCCCGAACAAGACTGGCGCTTCTGCCGTGCGCGTCAGAAACGGCGCACAGATTACGGCCCTGGCAAGGCGGCATGGGGCACCCCCCTTTCTGGAGGGACCCGTTGTCTTGCTCCTTTCTGTGTTACGGTCGCCGTACGTGGGAGTTCTGAGGCTCTGGAGTGTGGAGGCTGCGCTTTGTCGCTGAGGCTCTAAACACAAACTGAGAGATCGCTGCCCTGGGGCGGGGTGCTGCAGCCTCCCGCCGCGTGGGAATTTCACTGCCACTTCCAGTAAAGGCCACGGGACTTGGGGGTGGAGGGTCTGGGCAGGCACAGGAAGCGAGAGGGCGTCCCTGTTTCCCCCCAGAAGCCGAAGCCGCTGTCCCCAGGTGCAGGCCCACCCAGGGTGTGGTCTTGAGGGCCACACAGGAAGATCTCCGTTAATTTGGCATCAGAAACCCCGGGGTGGCCTTGGGCAGCACATCCTCTCCAGCCTCTGTCCCTTTGTTGGGGACAGGAGAGGCCAGGTGGGCGGTGTCCACCTAGGTGCTGGGCTCCTGTGAGGGGCCCGTGCGTCTGTGCGGGAGGTGCAGTGGACGGACTGGGCCCGGGTCCACCAGTCGTGTGTCTGAGCTGGGAGGCAGGGTGGCCCCTCGAGGGTCTTGTCTCGCCTGCTGTGGCCCCCACTGCTGGCTCCTCAGTGCTGTGACATTCCCTG